GGCAGGTTTCAGACTTACCCTGTTTCTTTATTGAACCCCGACCTGTGCCAACAAGAGCCTTAAAGTATTCAGAGGCCAGGGATTTGTTTTGAGAACCAGAAAGAACTGAGTAAAGCTTACAACCCTTCCATGCAAAAATACACTCCACTGTACCCTATTTCCTCCAACTATCTCATTTTGGCAGGGACAACCCCAGTTAATCCTATGCCATCCTGCTTTCTCCGCTGTTTTTAAAATGGCTTGGTTTCTTCCTTCTCCTCTCACTTTCCTCCTTTGTCTTTAGTTTACTTCAATTGCTGCAATCTGAATTAAAAGTGCAAAAGTAATTTGCATTCATTTAACTCAGCAGGAGAAAGATGAAAAGATGAGGCATAGCTTTCACCTTCCCAGTAGGCTCAGTTGGGCAGCTTCTTCTTCTTTTTTCAGACTTTCCTATAGTCAGTACATACATCTCAAGGTAAAAATAATTATTTTGTGGGTTCTTCCTCATTCATAGCTTTTCACTTCTTATTGCTTGGTCACATTATTTTGATTGTGTTCTGATGTTGCTTGGCCACATGAGTCCTAGTTTACTCTTAAGCTTTGTCCATTTAAACAACAGAGATTAGGGAGATGATCACACATGACTTTTAAAATTGTAAAATAGCATCTTTGGTGATACTTACCACACGATGTTGCCTCCAACCCATAGCTGCTGTCTCTGCAAAACGTGGTTAGAACATCCCTTTTCATTGACAGGACAAACCCATCAATAAGCTACTAATCACGCTGTAGTCCCATTAGACTTGATGTGCGAAACATCACTGCTGCAGCTATTGCAGTATTGGTAGTCACATGGTGTTAGTGTCTCCCCGTCCCCCACCCTGTCTCTATTCCCAATCACCCTGATTCCCTTAATTTTAAACATATTTTTTTTCTTTTTTAAAACTTACATTGCATTAGTAGTACTGCAGAATTGCATTAAATAGTTATAAATAAATATATAAATAAATAGCATGCTGGTTAGGGCATAGGGCAGGGAAGTCTGATTAAGGGGGAATCCAGAAGAGAGCACAATGGCAGAAGCAGCCCTAGTCACACGATTGTGAAGACATGCAATAATGACTGCCCTCAAACTGGTATGTTTCCATTTTCATTAATTTGCACCATTGCGGCAAGACTGGGGCTTATGTGATAACGTCCTAGATCAGTGTGTGTGTGTATGTGCACAGGCCGAATTGTGGCCCCATTTTCATGCTGAAAATTTCCCTTAGGGGATTTAGTAGAGAATAGGACCTCATTCTGGATCTGGCCTGTATGGCTGCATTTCCTCAGGACTAAATACATCCAGTTTAACCACACTGTTTTAAAAACATGAATAATGTTTTTAACAGTGTGAATAACAAATGCATCCTGTTTGTTGTCCTTGCTTTAGCTGAACAAGGCAAGATGGTATCTCTTGGTAACTAAATACTCTGGAAGATGTGTGCCCATAAGGGGTATGGCTCAGTGCCAGATTGGTGGCATTTCCACTCTGCTGCTATTACAGCATTGGTGGGAACCATGCAGCTCTCCAGATACAGGTGGACTGCAACTCCCATCATTCCTTATCATTGGATATGGTGGCTGGGGCTTCTGGGACTTGCAGGCCAACAAAAACTGGAGTGTGGCATGATTCCTACCCCTGTAATACAAAAACCTAGATGCTGATGACAGGAGGTATGAAGGTGGCATACTTTTCGGACAAAATACCCCACCTTTTTGGCCTGAACAGGAGCATTCATCCCTCTTATGTTCAGGCTGGCCTCAAACTGGGAGCATGGGAAGGATGCCAACAATGTCCCTATGTGAAGGCAACTAGGCAGACTCAGGACAAATGCTCATCTACCAATAATTCAAACCTGGAAAAATTACTATAACCATCCAGTCTTCCAGACAGCTTGTAGTCCAAAAATGTAATTTTGCTTATAAAAAATGATATTTTCCCAAGCTTGCCCATCACCTTCTGCCAAATTGTGAGCCCATTATGTGGTGAGTCAGAGGCATGATAGGCAAAAAACAAAAACTGCATACCCTCTTGGATAGCTACAGCACATAAATTAGGAATGCTTATGATGGCATATCGTAAAGTTTTAATTATCACCTTTAAAATCTTTTGTTAGAAAGTTTGTTTTGATTTGTAGTTGTTAACTTATCTCTACGTAGTCACCATCCAGATTTAAACATTTCCCCCAGTGTTTCTTGACCCTCCGAATTGCGCATTAAACCACTCTTCTACTTTATGAATGTCGTCATTATGTTGTCAAATCAGCGACCCTGCAACAGATTTTTCATTTTTTGGGAAAAGAAAACGTCACTTGACTGTAATAACTTCAGGGTGATAATTATTACTTTACAATATCCCCTCTGCAGTCCACATCTTCTCCACTTCAGAGGTATCTACACATGCCCAGATTTTTGTTGGTGCTCTGACTTCACACTGTTTTTTCCATTAGCTTCCTTAACAAAAGCAAGGGAGTTTATTTGTTTTCCATGCATGTAAAAAAAAAAAAAAAAAAGGTTCAGGGAGGAACCTGCTAGTGACATGAAGCCTGGTGAGTTGTGGTGATTAAAGGGATGCAGAATGCAGAGGCACGGTGTAGCCCTGCAGATGATGAGCTGAAAACTCTGTTATTCCTGCTTGTGAACAGAATGAGCTCCAGGGAACTATCTTGTATCAGCAGCCTAGCTGCTGACATGTAATTTCCTTGGTAAAGCCTGTTGGTCTGTTGCAAGCACCTGAATTCTGTTGGTCTGTTGCAAGCACCTGAATTAATGCAATCACCCTTTGCTTTTAAAGACATCTGGAAACACCAGCAGCTGGACTGAGCTTTCTTTTTTCTTTTCTTTTCTTTTCTTTCTAAAACTGTGCTCCTTCAAAGTTTACCCTTCCTTTCCTTCTCTCAAACTTAGAAGATTATTGCATAATGATATAAACCATCTTACCTGAGCTGGCTTAAAATTAGAAGTGGGAGGCATCCTGATATTATCAGATGCTTTAGCTGCCGAAATTGCCGCTTGGGTGCAGCTCGGCTCCATTGCTGCTCAAAGGGGTGCTCCGGTGGCCATTTTTTTCAAGCGGGAAGACTTCCAGCTTTAAAAAGAGGCGCGAGGAGCGCCCCTTCGAGTGGCGATGGGCTGTACCTGGGTGGCGATTTTGGCAGCTAAATGCATCTGATAATATCTAATTTTAAACCGGCTCAGGTAAGCCGGTTTATATCATTATGCGATAATCTCCCTAATGTGGATCAAGGTTCACAACAGTTAGGCTGCGAAAACTTGAGATGTATCCACAGCCCACAATTGCATCTGTATTTATATTGTCCTGGCTCCATCCTATGCAGTCCTGGGATATGTAGTTTTGTGAGATAACTTAGAATTCTCAACCAGGATTCTAGTTCAAGGAAATATAGTAGAGAATTCTAAGTCCCTCACCAGTCTACAAATCCTGGGATTTCATCAGGTGAAGCCAGGACAATTAAAATGGTATGAAACAGATGTAATTGTGTAGTATGGATATGCCCTTGGTCCGGAAGTAAATACTTAACCCTGAACTCTGTGGTGTATGCTACAGAGGAGTAAACACATCTGAACATATACATGTAATGGTGGGCAATTGTGCCCCCCTACATTTCCCCCCTACAAAAAGCCCCATCAGCCTTAGCCAGCGGAGTAGTGAAGAAGAATTATGGAAATTGCAGTCCAAACCCACCTATAGTTATTTACTCATAGTTTACAGAGGGCTTTTTCTTGTACAACAAGGAATCACAGTCATGGTTCTACTCTGTTTAGCTGATTACTGTATTTTTCGGCATATAAGACGCTCCGGCATATAAGACGCA